GGATCAGAGGGAACATGAGGAACAATATTACAACATTAAGGCTGGAGAAGAAGGTTGGCATGAGGTTGTAAAGGGACCATAAGCCAAACATTTAATGTGTGGGCAACAGAGAGCCCAAAACATTTTCAAGCAGGGAAGTATAGGAGGAGAACTGTTCTGCTGGATGGTAACAGTGTAAGTTATTAATGCTGTCACTAATAGGTATAAAGGGGAAAAAACTTAACCTTTCTCGAGTACCCTCTATGTACCAAGCACTTCAATATATGTTACATCATTTATTCTTCACAGCAATGCTATAGGGGACTTTTTTAGATCCTTATTTTAAGAGATAAAGAAATTGAAGGCTCAAAATGCTCCATTTGGGGACCATCTCTGGCCTTCCGAAATTCATACCCCGTAGGGCAGGCATTCCTATTCTTCAGGGCCACCACCGTCAGCAAACTGGCTACAATGAGCAATAGGTCTGGTTTAGCAAAGCACTGCTTAGGTTCTAATGAATTAGTCATTCTCATGGTGTATATAATTAAAATAAAGTTAGAAAACTGATGTGCTTCCAACATATAATGGCTCTTCATGACTTTAAGATTGGATTTGAGAAAAACATTTGACTATGTTTGGTCAGATAGCAATATTTTATACATATACTTGCATCAAATGCACTAAACTCACCTAATCTGGTATACACAACCTAAACAGAATCTAGGGAAAACATTACATAGCAAATTAGGTCACCTACATAAACACAGGAACATATTTTAAACTTATACCATTACATTTACAGAGGTTTTGAAAATATCTATCTAACTACTTATTAATTATAAATAATATGAATGTTTCAAGCATTAAAAAAATCTACTAGATATATAAATATAGTGAATTAAAATATAAATTTTAAAAAGTACAAATCCCCAATTCTGAAAAATAACAAGAAAAATCTCACCTTTTATGTATATTTCTAAATCAAATCAATGTTTCTAAAGGGATGATTGCATATGAATTATGGAAATATTACTAACGACACAGGGCAAGTAGGAAGTAGTATTGTTAGCTTACATAAAACTCAAGCTTGGATTCTTATTTCTATTGTATCTTAATACTTTCATGCAGACTATGAACTTTTGAACATTTTGCATCCTAAAATATTTAGCTCTTTGTCAGTCACTGGCAAGTTTGTGTGGATGTGGTAGTGTATGTTAAACTATATGCCTGAGAAAAAGAAGATGATCCAATCTAAACTATAATGCTGCTATATACACACCCAGTTCCTATTGATCAACTGGTATAGCATTCCTGTGTTCCTGTAAGACCTCCACGTAACACAGGCTATATAACACCACAAGCGAAAAGACCTAAGAGTTAAAGTCAGAATTTCAGCGCAGGTAACAGAAACCCAGGACAGGTTCAGAATATGCTAGTAGGTCTTAAAATTTCAATTAGCCCTTTCAGTGCTGTCTTTTTTTTGGCTACCATTTCAAAACTATGTTAGTCATCACCCAATAGATAAAAGTATGACTAAAATACTTATTTAAATAGGTGACTTTCAAACCTTTTCTTAACTATAAAACACAGTAATAAATACACTTCGCCTCCTGACCCAAAATATATGCGTTTGTATGTGTGTATATATGCACACTTACTTATATACATATTTAAAAACTAAAACCACATTTTCATAACATGATACCTACTCTTTATATGTTAAAATACTTAACATATTAAAATATTCTTGTGTTTTCTATTTCATTGTTTATGAAAATACTGGCTATGATCCACTAAACTGATTTCATGATCAACTAAGTGGGTCACAGACTGCAGTTCAGGGATTATGATCCCATTCTTCCCACCCAACTGTAGGAATTATTTTAAAATGACATCACGGGTAATAGTCACTCTTTGGTGAGGGTGGGGTGGGGGGGGATACAAAAATCCTTTTTTTTCTTTTTTTAACCCACACTAGAGCACAGCTGTGAATTATCAAGAGAAAGACGCCTGAAGTTCTCAGTGTGAGAGAAGCAATGCCACCTGTGTTAGTGCTTTATCTAAGTCCACACAAGCCCAGCAACTCGCCTCTCTAGCTTCTGCCTCCCTTTGACTGGCACTGTAGTTTTCACGGAGAATTGTTAAGAACATAAGAACCCATAAAGAGACAGTTATTACCTCCTAAACCAAAAGAACTTTTTCATTTGCATTAGGAAGCTCCTGAAACTATTTATCAAAGATGAAGAGTAGATTCTGAGGTGTTTTTGTTTGGTTTGTTTTCAAATATGGTATACTGTTATGGTACATTCTACTATGGTACAGTAGAATAAAAGAATTTGAGTGGCTGGGAATTTTGTATTTATTTTATAATTTATACAAAATAGTGTAGAATGAGTAACTTACATAACATGATAACTCATTAAATGCCAGTTTGTAGCACCTACAGCAAGATAAACAGCAGGAGTTATGCAAATATTTTCCGATTTGAGCTAAGCATCATGATGTAATTCAACCATGACTTAGTGGCAAAACGTATTTTCTTTTTATAATATCAATGCTGTACAACGTTATATAATGTATAATGTTTTATACTGTTACAGTTTTGTTCAAATTAAATTTACTTATATTTCCTGTAAAAAGTATAATATTTTAAATACTAACCATGTGAATCATGATTATAGTTGCGTTATCTGCCTGCTTTGATTACTGTAACAAATTAAATTAGACTCAGAGAAGAAAGAATTCTGTTGCCCTCTTGTGGTAATTTCACTGTAGTGTATTCTCCAGGAGTTTCACATCAACTGGAATTCTTTTCTTTTCGTTTTAATAAGCAGTGGTATTTTGACCATAGTTTCTGAATTTCCCAAAGCAGTACATATACTGTCTGCCCTCCACAGTACATATACTTTGTGCCCTCCCTTCAGTTTCTATCTCAGAAATTTAGTCTTTTCCTTGCTTTTTCAGGAAACGTTCTCCTCTTCCCTTCCAATTACCATGCCAAAGGAATTTTTCTGAAAGTTACTTTCCCTATAGTAATGCACATACAAAATAATTACAGCAAACTTCCATCATCATAGGTAAGCTTTAAGTGAATGGAAATAATTAACAATGTATGGGGCTGAGCCGTCAGCATTTTTTCCCACAAGAACAGGTCTTGCTAAATCAATAGTCCAGAAATTTCAGAGGCTAATGATATTAGTCTAAATATTTTAAGTTTTCAAAAGTAATATAATAGTCTTTTCTTTACAATAGTCTAGATCACATGTAGTGTGGGGAAGGTCTCTCCTCCCCCCCCCAGCACAAAACTTCAAGCTTCTTTGCAAAATTAGTAACATGTGATGGTAATTCAAACTATACAAAATGACATTATAAAATAAATTTTAACTATATAAATAATTAGCATTTTTCTAAATATAAATTATTTATAACAAATGAAGTTAAATATTTAGTATCTAATATATTTAAACACTATGGAAAATACAAAACAAAGGTGGATTCCTAATTAAATTAACTAAAAATCCATCCTTACTACTGGGAAAAATATTTTTAAACAATAATAAATGATCAATTCTTAAAGCTATTATATTTTTAAAAGCAGCCCCCTGTGTATTCAATCAATCCTCATCCCAAAACTGATGAGGAAAGACTAGAATTATACAGGAGACTAGGTAAAAAAGTGCATTCTACACAGAGGGACCAGAACTTTCAAAAGCAAGGTAACACGGCATGTCTCAGTAACTGAAGATGCTTTAGTAGCACCACGGCACAGATTATAAATTGGGAGCATCAGGGGATGAGACTGAGAAGTGAGCAGGGGCCAGAGTGAAAAAGGTCTCAGATGATAAATTAAGGAATGGGAAATACAGTAAAGCATCTGCAGCGGGAGAGTGACGTGGGCAATCAGAGCTTTAGAAAGACCACGTGCTGCAGCACAGCTGCCACAGCAGTTGATGGGGTGAGAGGACATAGGGAAATTAGTTAGAAGTTGTTTGCAATGACAAGGGCCTGAACCAAGGCAATTGCTCTGACCACAGAAAGGAGAGAAGAATTTGAGAAATACTAAAAAGTGGAATTATTAGGTGTTAGTGTGAGATGAGGGCATGGAGCTTACGTTCTAGCTCTGGTGACTGGGTCCCAGAGATATTTTGATATTTTTGGACCTGCTGCATTTGAGGTACCACCTGGAAACATATGGAGTTCAGGAGAGAGAGGACTGTAAATTATCAGTGGTTAGGCAGTAAAAGGAATCTGGATGACAGATCATCCAGGGGGAGTGTGAAGAGTGAGCAGAGAAGCCTGAGGTGGGATTAACAACCTTTAAGTGTAGCCCCATCTTCTGTTAAGGGACGTACTATAGTCCTATAACCACAAACTTTGCTCAGGTTGGGAGAAACAGGAGATCATTTAGTCTCCCCTCATTTTGCAGATCAGAAAGCTGAGGGTCAAAGAGGTTTAGTGACTTTATTTAAAGCTATTTATCTGTAGAAGTGAACGAAAACTCAGGTTTCCAGATTGAGCCCAAATTGTTCCATCCATCCTATCATTCAAATGTTCTCTGTCTAGTAATGTGTCCTTCTTCTGCTTCTGCCTTGTAAATTTTCAGAGGACAAGAAGTAAAAGATTCTCTCTTCAATAACTGTTTGATGTCAATAAATGCTTCTGTTGTTATTTTGTATATATAATCAAAACTAAAATGTTGTATTACCAAGGCTACCTTCCAACAAAATAATTCATTAATATGACCCCAAATTTACAATTCAACACATGCTTCCCGAGTAATCTAGGAAACAAGGAAATGCCCAACTCTATAATGATGAAAAACAAATGGCAACTGTATCAAATACACACAGAGATTGTTTATGAGACACTTCAGAGAGAAAAATAGCTATAGCAATTCTTTCCTTTTTAAATCTGAGATGGTTGAGAATAGGTTTCACCAGTGAATTCTGTCATATATCTCAGAACACATTTTCATAATTACACTTAAGAAAAGCAAAAAGTGCGAAATTTCTTCGGCATACCTGCTTGGTTTGGCCGCTGCCAGCCTGGCGACTTGACAGTGCTGGTGGCTCCCAGAGGCTTGAAGGCGGCCACAGTGGTGAGCCCGGCCACCCCTGGCCTGGCGGAGGCTGGGCTTGCCGACCTCTCAGGCATGCTCCGTGCCGAAGCCACTGACGGAGCCAGCTGCTGAGAAGGCTCCTGGGAGTTGCTGGAAAGAAAATAAGGAAACATTTTTGGTGAAATGGTAGCAATCTAACTTAGTAATGATCCTTTCTTTCCTCCATCTATGAAATCTCTAAGGAAAACAAAAATATTCATGAACTGATGTTTTAAAAAAGAAAAACACTAAAACCACGACTGAGGGACTGCCTCTCTTTAAAATGGAAAAAAAGAAAACAAAAGGAAAAGAGTCAGATTGCATTTGTTCAATACTCTGGAAATTCTAAAAGGTCTACCATGAGAAATTAGGCTACTGAAAAATTTACACAGCCAATCCTTTTAAAGAATAAGCTAATTTCCTCTTCCTATTCCTCTCGATCTCAACATTTCAGAAGAATCATCTAGATTAAAACAATTAATTATTGGAGAATTCCTGATAATCTCTATGAAATGGCATAGGTTTTTCTCTTCCCTTTCCCACATTTTTCTAGTATTTTATGATCTAAGTTTCCCTGACATCTCACCAGTCAGTCTTTTCACTCACATGCTCACTCAGTCACTCGTTCATTCAATAAATATTTAAGCACTTACTATATGTCAGACATTGTGCCGTGCATGGGCCACACAGTGGTAAATAAGAGACAACATTCCCAGTCTAAAAGAACATCCAGCATTCTGTGTTCATAATACAGGGAGATGAGAGAGAAGACTACCATTGTCTTCTCTTAATCAGAGTTATTTGCTTAACAGGAGGTCTTACGTGTGCTCCTTCCGGTTTGATTTAGAAGATCATATAGCTTTTATTACCCAGTCATTTGTTATTTATGATTATAAATTGTCATTTCCCAAAAAACAATTCTAGGTAACTCAAATTATAAAATGTGTACTTTGGAATGATACAATACCATAGCAGTTTCTCTCAAGTGAAGTATTATAACAATAATACCACTAATAATATTGTTACTATTATAACAATAGATAATATAATAATAATGTTATCATAACAACAACGATAATAATACATCCTACTAACTTTCCAGTAGAAATTGAGGTACTGATTGCTTAAATAATTCCATGCAGAAACTCAATTCGTTCAATAACTGAAATTAACAGCTGGAAGAATAGATCGATAAAGATAGGATACTATATTAATAACTTCGGTAAAATAAATACCGTTAATTATGCAGTTTAGGTTGAGATTATTTCAACAAAAAGAAATTTCCAGTTCAATCATGTCTGCTATACTACCAAATGAACGAGAACATCTAATTTCCCCAATGCCGCTTGAATCTCGGATAACACCTAACAAAGTGGGCTGAGACCACCTATCCTTAGGAAGGCCTGCTTGCAAGGTTGGCCTTTGACTGGCCTTTGGGAATTTGGCTGGTAAATAGCTCCCTACAGTCACATAAAACTTTCTCTAAAAGATAACGGTGGATCACTGTGCCTAGACTATATAAACAATGTGCTTTATGCTAAACACCTGCTTTCCTTCTGAGAGTCTGGAATTTTGGTATGAATTAGACACAGGGTACCTATGTAAGGAGCCCCAATAAAAACCTTGTCTTAAGTACTTAGTTTCTATGAGCGTCTCTGGTAGACAACACTGCACATTTTGTCATAACTCATTGCTGCAGGAATCAAGCACAACCTGTGTGACTTCACTGGGAGAGGACTTCTGGAAACTTGAGCCTCTTTTCTTCTGGCCCTGATCCCATGTACCTTTTCTTCTTGCTGACTTTGCTTTCTATTCTTTCACTATGATACATCTTAGTTATGAGCACAACTATCTACTGAATTCTTTAAGTCCTCTAGTGAAAGTGATCAGCAAACCTGGAGGTGGTCTTGGGGCACCTCTGACACTAAACAGTTTTGAAAAATCATATTAGAGCTATTTTAACTTTCTTAAAATATTGTTCCCTGTTACTGTTCTCTCAAATTCAAGCGCAATAGAGCCATCACCTTCTTTTATCATTTCTAATCAGTTTAATGAAAAACTAAAATTTACTTGATGTTAAAACATACTATACAATGAAAAACTTAAGTACTTTAATAATTTTTATCATAAAAAGTGAAAGACTGCTTACTTAATGGCAATGATGAACACAATTATCAATAAAGATGACACAATAAATAATGCTAATGGAGACAGAGTTTAAGCATTATAGTATAGTGCCTTTTAAAGGCTTTGTGATGGACAAATTCTTTTACTTCTCTAAGGTTCAATTACCTAAACTTTAAACGGGGCTAATACTTTGCTCATAAGAGTTCCATGAGGCTTAAATAAGATAATTATGTACAAAGTACTTAGCATGTCTAAGGCACAGAATATGAGCTTAACATATGAAAAGGATAATTAACATATTCAAATAACAAAAGACTTAATTTTCAATATTTTTATACATCACAAATGATTTCTGAAAGTAATACAGAAGTACAGATCATTTTAATTCTAGGGTTAATTACTCATGTAGATTTGAAAAAAATAACTAATAATTCATATAGCCACAGTTCTAAGAAGAAAAATTTATGACCAAGTAACACTAGAAATTACAGATAAAATAAAAATATAATCTGGAAATAATAACAAAACCCAAATCATCATTTAATGTTTAATGACTTGAAAGAATTAAAATTTAATTCCAGGAGAGTTGCTAGACAAACTTACTTAGAAGAAAGTGACCAGGATGATAGGAAATCAGTGCCAAGCTTAGTGAGGTTTGGTTGAAGGAACTGGTAATACTGGCCCAGAGTATGGAGAAAACTGAGAAGTAGAAGAGCAGTTCTCAGATATGTAACATGTGGATTCACTCTATATGGCTACATTCTATTTGCCCAATGTTGAATCGAATCCACAGTTAGACAGATTTGGTTCAATGAAAGGAAGTACTTCCCAATATGAAAAATCGTCCAAAGGAAAAAAATCTGTTTCCTAACCACGCTTTTTGTGAGAGGCTTCTCTCCAGAGGTACTTAAGCAGAGGATACAGATGCTACAGAAGGGATCTAACCGTTCAGAGGGTGGAGGGCCAAGTTACACTTCAGCTTGACATTCAAAGCCTTCTAGGATACAGCTACAATCTACCTATCCAATCCTATCTCCTACCACTTTGCTATACAAACTATACTCGGGCCATACCGCCTCTCTGTCTGCAACTCTACATTTTTTCCAGGTTCTACAAAGAAGGCACTTCCTCCCACGCTCCCTACACGCTAGGCCAAATCCTATCCATAATTAATAATAGTAGCAGTAACAATAACATCCATCATGCACTGTGTACCATGCTACACAATTAACATATATTATTTTATTTAATCACACAATCTTCTTGAGGTAAAGATACTCCTTCCTTCAATTCACGGCACATATTAACTGCAGGGCTTATTTACATTTTGATTGGTAATAGCCAGGATTTTTTTAATTAATAGTAACATCTTCACATATCTTGTCTCTACATTATACCACTTTATGTATCTTGTCTCTACTACTACGTTATAAACTACCTGAGATTGGGGCATTTACTATGACCATGGGTATGTTACTTAAACTTGACAAGTTTCCTTATCTTTAAAATGAGATAAAAATACTACCTTTATTCCAAGATTATTGTTAGGATTACACGAAATACAATGAGACATTTATATGTAATACAAGTAAAGTACTTAACACAGTGCTGAGCACGGAGTTGATGCTCAAGAAATGGCACATCCTGTTACATCTAGTTCAGATATCTAGCGATAAGTACATTTACCAAATAAACACCTCTCACCTGCACTAATAATTTTGCTTCTAAACGTAGTTTGTGGATAGTTTTGGTCCAGAATTTTGAGACCAGACACAATCTTGCTTTCTCAACTCAATTTTAAATAACACACAATATTTCTTAAAATTCCCATGGAATAAGTATCTCATAAGCCAAAAATTTTTTTCATTTTTTATTGTATCCTTTGTACATAGTTTTGTATATATTCTCTCCCAAAAGGCCTAAGATGTTTAAATCTTAAACAGTATTCTTTAGATACAAAGGGTGTGCAGTATACTATAAAGAACTTATAAAAATCTAAGCTATAAGCAAGAAAGTTGTTCCATTTATGTTTAAATTCAGAATTGATCAGCAGAGTTCAATATTCTCCATGGAAATAGAACTCTATTTACTTAAAACATTTAATGTAGTAATAGAAGAATATTAGGTTTTATCTAGACATCACATATCTGAATACATATCTGAAAACATGATGCCTAGGTCTCTAAAAATCTATTAGCTTTTTCTCTGATTTTTAATTATTACCAACTGTTTAAAGAAAATAAATAAAATTAGGTATCATATACTAAAGATTAAAGAATTAATAAAGTCATTTGCCACATTATTTTATATTTGGGAACAAAATGTTATCAATAATCACTAACAGCAAAATATTTTAAATTAATGACTAATTTATTAATATAGTATGGCATGATTACTTAAATGAGATTGGTATCTTACCTCTGAAATCATGACTCATACATATTTTTTCTAAATTTAAATTGTTGAAGGTATACCTAAATTCTAAACAAAATTAAAATGCTTTCTAAAAGATTCTAATGAGGAAACCAGAGTAAATCCATAAATACCCTTGGCTAATACCACAGAAGCTAAAAATCAAATATGGTCACTTTCACTAGTCTGCCAAATAAGCACTGAAATGAAACGTTAAATTAATATGACTTCCATCTCAAGAATACCAAAGTTTTTGTGTCAAATTTCAAAAACTGAAAATGGAGAAAAATATACCAATAGATCAAAGGTTTCTTTTCACAACTGAACTAATGAGGAAAAAAGAAAAAGCAAGAAAAGTTAACTTTCAGTGTCAGCAACCTGATTTATCTTGAGTTTACATTCCTTTTCCACATTTGTTTAACTATTTCAACAAGTAAATTTCAGCTGCAGAGTGGGAACAGTTGGAAATTTTAAGTCTATTTTCAAAGGAAAAACACTGTTTGAAGAATACTCTTGAGAGTAACTTTTATTCTAATTATGTATTTAAACTTTTTAAAAGCCAACTGTACATTGTAGGTTTAATTATCAAAGTTTAAACTAAACAAACAGTTTTTAGCTAAAGTCTCATAAAAAATTGATATACCAATACACAGACTCTGAAGTAGTCAGAAAGGAATATTTCTCAAAGGGTCATAATTATAAGCAACTTTTTTTTTTTTTAAGATTTTATTTATTTATTTATTTTTCCCCCAAAGCCCCAGTAGATAGTTGTATGTCATAGCTGCACGTGCTTCTAGTTGCTGTATGTGGGACGCGGCCTCAGCATGGCCAGAGAAGCCGTGCGTCAGTGCACGCCCGGGATCCGAACCCGGGCCGCCAGCAGCGGAGCGCGCGCACTTAACCCTAAGCCATGGGGCCAGCCCCTCAACTTTTTATTTTAATAGAATTTTGTCAGAATTCTATAAAAGGACCTAGACATATAGAGGAGTCATGAGTCTCCTGCCTTCCAGAATTCTGTGTTTACAAGAAAATTTTTTGTATTTTCCTAAGCATAATTCTTTAACTTAGACTTTTTGTATAAAAATTCAAAATGCTAAATACACTATAATGGAAACAAACAAGTTTGGTATTACACTACACTTTATTATAATTTTAGAGATTACTGTCATACAAAAGCAAAAATCAGAGATAAAATACCTCTGATACCATCCCAACTGCTCTTTTTGGTACCCTTCTCACTGAGTTAGCAAGGTCTCCTCAGGAAACCCTGCGTTCCTGCTTTCCAGAATGCCAACTGGCTTACCTTGTCGAGAACCATTTCCCTTTCCCAAATATCAAAATATGTTTAGTTTGTGCCTATTGCTGTTAATAAAAAGTAATGATAATGACTATGAACACTTGCTCTAGAAGTGGGTCTGTGGCTAGCTTCAGTCAGTCCATAACTGCATGCACATCTTTTTTTTTTTTTTAACAAGAAGTTTATTTAAACAAGATGCTTGAATTGAAGGGAAAACTATCTCGGATTCATTTCTTTTAATCTATCCCTACTTAAAGACAGATTGCCCTACATGTAACAGCTATGTACAAAAAAGTTATAAAATTATCTTTGGTTTTACAATGATAAATGAAAAACATTAGAATTCTCCAATCGAACAAGATATGCAAGGATTTTTATGTTGTTCTTTTTTTGTTAAACAGGGAGAGCAAAATAACTTACTGGAATAAAAGATAAGAGCTGAATGGGCATGCCACTAATGGAGAAAGGGGTTTTTTCACAGAACCAGTATTTTTCCCCATCCCATTTCTATTTGATGTCAATCAAAACATACCATTGGCCATTTAGTTAAGAAAAAAATGTAATAGTGCTTTTCTGGAGAGAGGATTTAGAGCATCCCATGATGTTCTCAAAACGACCTTTCTAAGCGTGGTCAGTAACCTGTCTCTGTACAGACTTAGCCCTGACAATGAAAGATTTCTGCTCATTTAACACTCACAATTCCACAAACAGAATATAATTTCAGGTATTTTTTTTCCTTAGAGCAAAATGTACAATGATCTCTCTCTTCCTGTTTAAATACCTCCCTTAGAAGTTACCCACAATTATAATTAAGTGTATTGAAACCCTCTGTAACAGTGGGTAGGATACAAACGTGATCAACAGGGAGCCTATGTCATATTATGCTTTTACTCATTATAGTCATACTTATACACTCTGCCATTAACTTTATGTTCCGCCAGAAATGATTTTATACCATTATTTCATTCAGATTATACCTTTAGTAAACATTTGGGATATTTTAGTTTTCTTATTATGTCTATAATTTTTGGCATAATTGTTAAATTTAGGAGAAAAAAAAATTAGTGCTTCAGTATTTCCTAGATACAGTGAAAATCAACTTGTTTGCTCAAGTAAAAGCTTCATATTTAAGAACTATAAGAGAGTAGTCACAATTATTTTATTATTCTTTTCATTTTTTCAAAAGGTATAAAGATATGTCTTACTAAACATTTGACTATTCTAGTACAGCTACATCCATGCAATAAAAGACAGGGTTCTACTCTAATTTAAATACTTGCACAATTACTCATAATTTCACATCAAACATCAAGTGCGCTAATAAAAGATGTCACAAAGAGTTAAAGGCGAGTTAATAATCATACAAAATAATGTGCTTATGCATTAGCATTGCATTGAAATTACAGTTAATTTAAAACCGTACACAAATCAGCTCGAGGATTTTCTCATCTGGTCTGTTAATATGGTGGTTAAGAGTTAGAGAAAGCAGTATCTTTTATAGCAAACCACCACTTGTGACATCCGCTCCCACAGTACCTTATTTTCCTATCATGGACAGAGCCAGTTGACTTCCTCGAGGCCTGGAGATACGAAAAAGCTAGAGGCTTGGAAACAGGGCTGATGCAAAGTGCATCCAGGAGGGAGTGATATTTTTCAGGACTGGAGAACCTGGTGAGCGTTCAGAAAGTCTTTTAAGTCGAAAAATCACACTACCAAGAGCAGAAAGTAGTTTTTACAGTCTAGGATTTGAAACATTTCCAGAGACAGAGACAGAGACAGACAGAGAGAGAGAACAAAGCAGTAGAAAGAAGGGCTCAGAGTCTATTATATTATTTTACTCATTAATACAGAATTGATTAAATTTTCACCAAGATTGATCAAGGCAATCTTCTAGAAAGCATTTAAAGCTGTAAAGACTACTGGAAATTATGTAAAAACAAAACTCCACAAAAATAAAAAGGCTTTGTGCTTTTTTGGGAGGAAGGGTATTGCAGAGAATAGTTAGGCTTTAGATCACCCTCAAATATCATCAGTTTGTGGGAAAAGATAAAACCCATAGAAACTTAAAATATCTATTTATACTTGACTCTGTTCCAGATATAAAACTAAAAATTATAAAAATCCAAAAGTCAATAGGCATACAACATGCAACAGTCCACACAACTGAGAAGTATCATAGATAAATGGTAGTAATGGAAAGACAGAAAAGGATGATTTAGAGAAAAATCAGTAATAAACATTGTGGGATATACAAATCCACAGCCTAGACAAAATGTCCACAATACGATTAAGATCTCATATCAGAGCTCTGACTGCTTCAAATGGGCATGTTTTCTTTGAGGTCACTGTGAGACAGTGGAAAGTGTTGGGGTCACACCAGACATGCACTGAACATGAGTTCTACCTGGTTTTTGCAGCAATAGCAGCAGACACGGTCGCGGCCGCACTGCTCAGAACTGCAGCGCTATATCTAGCAGGAGAAGAGAAGGCAGGAAAGCTCCGAAAACCTTCCAAAGAACTTGCCACCACATTTCTCGTGGAGCTGCTTAAACTGATAGGTAGGGAAAGAAAAAACAGAGGAGGAACAAACAGGAAAGTGAGAAGAGGCAGATAATGAAGATAAGATAGCACCCACCCCATATTCATGTTGAGACATTGTAAAGGTGTGACAAGTCAGAAGCGTAAGAGGAGTTCAGGTCACTTAGTTACTGTTGCTATGATTTCTCTCAGAAACTAAAATTTGATATGTAATCCTCCATAAAACTGATTTTTGAGATATAAACACTTTTGAATGTATTTAAGTTCACTGTCTCTAATCCTATTTAAAACTAAATCAATATCATATAACAATACACATGGAGAGTGACTTGTCAACAACTAAGTAGAAAATAAATCTAAACATGAAGTTTGAATTTCTATAAGCAAAGAAAGAAGGAAGGTTATGTTGATTTTTCCAAAAAGTCTCTACATAAAGAGTTTACCTTAGAGGTGATCTACACCCAGAGCCTGACATTTTAATGACTCGTGTTGTCAGGAGAAGCAGGTACAACCGGCTGCCTATTCAGAAGCAGCAATACAGATTAACGTGAACAAGAAATAACTTTGAAATATTGAGAGTAAAGCTATTTGGGGGTGAGAGGGGCCAAGTACCTTTGTAAAATAAACAGTAGTTACAGTGAATATGACTAAAACATCACCTTCTCTGCTGGTGTTCTATATTTCTATTTTCAGTTAGCTCTGTAAAGATTAAAAAATGCTGGCACGAAATTTTATCTTCAGAACTCTTATTACTTAAAATAATAATTATTTTTCCTTGGTCTTTTAGAAAAGGTCAAACACCTGGACAGGAATTAACACTCCATCATTAGGACTGTAATGATTTCCAATGTGAATGGAGAATTTCTTTTTGATTAAGTAAAGTAAAAAGAAAGTCTAAAGTACATAGTGTGAAACTTGTAGTCTTCTTCACTCATAGGTGCAAGTTATTAAGGAACATCTTCACTAGACTGTGATCATCACTTTTTCAAAATTGGTGACAATGGCCACCTCCAACATGAAGTAAAGATGTGCCAAACTCAACCCAGGTTAAGGAGAGCTCAGACAGATGTCTAAAACCGTGAGGGTTCACACAGGTCTCCTCTCCCTGTCAGAAGAATTGAATAATCCATTATTCCTAGTTCCATTGGCTATAACTTTACAAACCATTAGAAGGCAAATTAAAGAAATAGTGGCAAGCCATTTCTAAAAAACTATACAGAATTGCCAGTATTGCAAGTCTATAATTTAATTAAACTGTATGACTGTGTTTTAACAACTGTTGTGAATGGCTAGAAAAGAAAGAACGGGGGCTGGAGAGAGAAAAGGAAGATGCTGTCAGTGGCAGGACAGGGGAATGCGAGTGTCATGCAAAGTGGAAAAACAAAGTTAGCAAGTGATTCAACTTTGAGTTTCTCAATTACTCTGCATCTCTGAGGAAAAGGCTACTATTTGGGGGAAGTAATAGTGAATATAACTAGAAACTTAAGTCTATAAAAAATCAGGTAAAAAAATAAATCAGCTAAATCATCCTTCTCCTGTAAGAAGAAAAGGAAACTGTAATGAATTTCTTTCATCATATTCTATCAAAAATAATAAAATAAAAGGACTTAGTATTAGCATAGTCCAGCAGAATCTTCTAAGAAGAATTAACCCAAATACCTTTAGAATATGGCTGGGGACCTGGAACACATGATCTCTATTGCTCCTCTTTTAGAGGTGAATGCTCTAATTCAGTAAAGGAGACTATGACAAACTCAAGAAAAGTTGACTTTCCAAATCACAGTGAATAAATAAAGGCACAGGTTTCCTGACTCTACATTAGAACTTAGAATCTAAACGAAAAAATGTAAAATATAAAAGCGGTGTAAAGCAGTGTGCCAGGGCTGAGTGCCAAGCTCTCTCGTCTATATATTAATGATGTCCGTTCTGTAATCTAAGATCACTTTTTCCTTTTTAGTCAAACAGATTTGGTATTTAATTTCACCACCAGCACTAAAATTTAGACATACCAAGAAGTTTGAAAAACTCTACCTAGAATATGTAGTTACTTTAGAAAGCGTGGCTACTTGGCCACCAATGTGTAAAACCTGAGCAGTTGCAGGTGGGTGAGGTCCACTCGGAGCCAGGTCTTCAAGAGAACTGTCAAACCTAAGTTTTCAGAAGTAAAATAAACAAGGCAAAGGAAATATTAACGAAAAGTACAGAAATTTATCATCTCTACTACCTTTTAAATGAACATTGGTTCCATTTTGGGAATACTGCTAGTTTTTTTTTAACTTCTTATCCACATAAGGTTAAAACCAAAACCAACACCCTCAACACCACCAAATACAGGCTGTTTTCTCTCCCAGTTTTTTAACATGGCTATTTTCATGTGGTAAAAGATTACGCTTACAGGGGAAGAAAGGTGGATGGAAATTTCCATACACTGACTATGTATTTTGCATGCTTCAGAACAACTTAGGCTCCAAGAAATTAAGTTGCCCAATATTGTATACCTAGTAAGGGTCAGTGGAATTTGAACCAGGTCTGTCTGTACTATTTCCACCACATACTGCTTTCCAGCATCTTGTGGGGCAGTTGCCTGAACAGTGCACTACAAGAAAGCAATTGGGAATTTCCTTTCAGGTCAGAATGCTATGTTTGCAGATCTGCAATTATATGGATGTTGTTTATCTTTATGTAAACCAAGTATTTTATCCAGTCACACAACAAACATTTGCATGCAGTTGTGTTGCTTTGAGTATTTTTTACTTCATTTTTTTGACGTCTGTACCCTTTTTTCTTTTTAATGCCAGAATTAAATTTTAGAAAGAAGTGTTACCAGGTAAAGAAAAAATGAAAAACTCAGCGTGAGGTTTGAAAGAAGAAAGCACCAAGTATAACACTTTGAAAGAAAAATAAAAAAGAAAAGTAAAAAATTCCCATTATTTAGAAATGAAAAAGACCTGTGGATAAAAAACAGAATGGGACAGTCATGTTGATTTTCAAACGCAAAACGTAAAGCTAAGATAAAGAAATAGAAAAGGAGAGGTTATATTCTCATTTTTTATTTAGCACCAGTCATACCTTTACCAGAGCGTTGAAAAAAAATGTAGACAACTTAAGAAAAACGTCATGGTACAATTAAAATATCATTTAAGAGGTAGAGCAGAAAAAGTTAAAAGAATAAGAAATGTAAGGCCCATAACAGGAGTCAGCAAACCACGGCTCTCAGGCCAAAGTCCTCTAGCTACCTGTCTTTGAATGGCCTGTGAACTAAGAGTGGTTTTCATATTTTTAAATGGTTTTTAAAAAATGAAAAGAATCACATTTCATTACACATAAAAATGATATGAAATTCAAATTTCAGCATCCATAAAGAAATGTTTATGGAACACAGCCAGGTTCATTCAGTTACATATGCCTACGGCCACTTTCACACCACACGCAGAGGGGAGCAGTTGCCACAGACCATATGGCTCCCAAACCTAACATGTTTCCCATCTGGATCTTTACAGAAAAGGCTTGCTGACCCCTGTCCTGGAGAATAACATCCCCACACAGTCACCAGAGTAAACTCAACAATGTAAATGTGACCCTGCCCGGCTTGGACCTTCCAGCACTGCTGTGGGGACAACTGTGATCCCGGGCTCCCTATTCCCAGCCTTCTCTATCCCTCCACTTGCTCCAGGCCAACTGGTCATCATCTCTTCTTGAAACAGGCCAAGCCTTTTCCCACCTCAAGGCCTCTGCATAGTCGACTACTTCTCACTTTCTAGACTCACCTCTCTATCACACCTCCTCTGGGATAATTCCTAAGCGTCCTTCTTGCCTCAGTTTAAATGTCACCGCCTCAGGGAGGCCTCCTCAATTCCCCAAATCACCTTAGGTTGCCCACATCATACGCTTTCTTGGAACTCTGTACTTTTTCTTCACAGCATTTCTTATTATTATAATTTTACAATTTGTGTGGTTCATTTTTTAAATCTGGACTCCCTCACTAGATTAGAAGTTCCCTGAAGTCAGGGACCATTATATTTCCTGGTATAAAAGAAGTGTAACAAAGTGGTTACCACAAAGTAAACAGCAAATAAGTGTTTGTTGAATACATGCATGAATGGAATTTATTGTTTTCAAATACAGAACTCACTCACAATATACATATACAGTCAGCCCTCTGTACATGTACACAGAAACCCACAGATACAGAGGGCCAACCGTGTTCACTGTATTATGCCATTTTATATCAGGGATCTGAGCAGCTGCAGATTTCGGTATCCAAGAGGGTTCCTAGAAGCAACCCCCCGGATACTGAGGGACGACTGTATTTCTTAGAACATATTTGTACCTTCCAGAGACTGTATCACAATTCAGGTTAAACAGGTCATTATTGGCTAAGTAAGAAAGGACACACCATCAACCTGAAAGAAATGACTAGAACTCCAAAAATACCTTTGAAAATGTCCTTTATAATGTAAAGAATTATCAATATTCTAAAAAAAATTTAGTTATAAAAATTATCAATGTCTACATATTAATATATAATGAGGACAGGTAAGAAAAGGGAGTGAGTTGAAGTTGAGTCTTCCAACACCTCTAGGAACTCTGTTGACTGGGACAATGATTGCCATCTGAGAATAAAGTTCATATAACTAATGAAATACCTTCTACAGCCAGATTTCCAAGTTTCCAAACAAATGCACTTGGGCGGTTTCCCATGTGTTACACACTGATAACCTATTCCTTTGTTTAGCAAACCTCTAAAAATAGTCAACTTAAGAAAATCATAAACTACCTCATTTAATATGGAACAGACATCAATATCTATTCTCATTCTGTCATTCCCTAATATTCATTCCTTTTAGGGCTGGAAAAAGCTCTGATTAATAGCACCTCTGTAGCAGCCAGACTTTCTGCTTTGTCTGTTACTTGAGTTTTCATTCCTCACAAGAGAGAAGTATGAAGACTTTCTCCTTTCCAGATCTGTCGGGAGAGCTGGGCTTGCAGCCTTTTGGCCTGCTTTTCTCAGGAAAAATGAACAGGATTGTGCATTATCTTTCTCTGCAATTGTGTCTTTCTTTGCACAATCTCTGCACTGCACCTTTCTATGCTTTTCAATAGGGAACCACGTTAGCAATGTGTCCAGGCAAAGCAGGCGTGAGGCTGTCCATCTTCTAACTGACCTCCTGACCATCCTGCAGGACCAGTGAGAGGACCTCTCTTTCTATCCCCTAGGCCTGACAATGGTCAAATAGCAACATCCTGCTGCTGCGTACTCCATCTCCTCCCTTTTTCTCAGGGGCCTCATTCGATCTATCGCTACTTGCAGTGCATTTTCCATTCCTCCCTCTCCACTGCATGCTTGGAGTCTCCATTCAAAAATGCGACAGTTTTTCTTACAAGCAACAACGATAAAACTACCTTCGCCTTCTATTTTCTCAGTCCCCTTAACAGTCAAACTCTGAAATGACAGTTTACTCATGTCGTCTCCATTTCCTCACCTGCCTGTCACTCTTCAACCTCTCAAGTGGGCCTCATTCCCCAACCTATAAAACCATAATCCCTCCAAGGTCACTAATGACCTTTTGTGGCTAAACTCAATTGCCAATTTATATTCTTCATTTTAAACTTTTATTGTCATAAAAAACACAACATAAAATTCACCATCTTAACCATTTTTAAGTGTACAATTCAGCAGTGTTAAGTATATTCATTGTTTGAAACAGATCTCCAGAACTTTTTCATTTTGCAAATCTGAAATTCTTACCCATCAAACAACTCCCCTTTTACCCAGCCCCTAGTAACCACCATTCTACTTGCTGTTTCTGCGAATTTGACTACTTTAGATACATCATATAGGTGGAATTACAAGTTTTGTCTTTTTGTTTACGTTCCTCATTTTTCTTAGCCTCGGTATCTGATCCAATTGTCCACTCCTTCTCGTCTCCTGTCTTCTGTGCCTCGACCCTACACGTGTGCCTGTTTTTAGTACTATTTCCCCAGCTATTCCTGGTTGCAGGATGCTAAAGCTCTCCACCAGTAATTTCAAAATGTTAATTTGGGGGGGCGGAGTCAAGATGGCGGC